GGCCTGATTATTGGCCTGCATACAAAGGGGAAATAATATGACACAATGATCAAATGCGAATGAATAAAAAAGGTCGTCCCAAAAGCAAGCGTATCACAACTGAAATGGACTCCCTTGACAAGCTAGAAAGAAAGTGTGGTGTATGTCGTCAGGTCGGACACAATCGAAAAAATTGCCCCACTCGTGCTACAAGCTCGACAACATAAAAATTGTATGCAAATTATCTGCACTTTTTTAAATTTTAAACGTAACTTTTTTCATTAAGAGCATTTGTTACAACAAACCATATGCAAAGAACAAATAAAAATATGGTAAAACATCTAAGAAATTGAAACTGTCAAAATAATTTCATCTGAGCCATGCATCATCACCATTACGTCTCTGTCTATTTTGACTTCCTCCAACCAAGATTGAGTTCTTCCCGTTGCAAGTGAGGTGTTTGTTCTTCTTCTCTAAATCCTTCTAATTTGTTCCCCATCATCGATGTCTCCCTCTAGCCATCGCATCAACTCTCTCTTCAGACGCTCCATGGAGTGAATGTGCCAGAATTTCGTTTTCATCGGAGGTTTGGTGGCCGAGAAAATAGCATATTCATCTCTGGTGAAAATCATGGGAGATGTCATGATGCAAATAACATAGAGAAAATAAGAAAAGAACGTGAGAAAATATGAAGACGGATGGAGAAATGAGTGTTTTACTTATAGAAAACACAATTGCACGTAGTAGCCATATGACGCTTCCTCTCCTTTTTATAGTGCATGCGCCATCTCACATAACTAAAACAAAGTGCATACGCCAAGTGAGATGACACCTAAGACAAAAAGATTATTGCATGCACCAAGTGAGATGACGCTTTCATTTCTATATATTCCGAAATATGATTATTTATGTAATTTTCTCCTATTTTTTCAATACTTACTTATTCACACAAAAAAAATTCCTTATATGAGTCTAGTGAAGCTGAGCCAAATTCACCAAAACTTTTTTGTAAAAAAGAAAAAGAAACACCGTTGATTTGAAACTGAATGGCAGGTTCGGAATTTGGTAGACGAATAGGAAGAGCGGTAAGAGAAAGAATCGAAAGGAGGAAAAGCAGCGTGCTCCGTGAAGCTCTATGGCACGACCCTTTCATGGCCGCTTCTACACGCGCCGTCGCAGAAAGGATCCCTTTGGTTGATCTCGTCGTTCATGTCACAGATGCAAGGGTTACATATATATATATACACTTCTGCAACTCTCGTTTCTTCCTCTCGTTTCAATTATTTAACTTTTACATATAATTTTGCATTCTTCAATTTCAGATTCCATTGTCTTCTCAATGCCACTTACTCAGAAACTACCCGACTTCCTCAAACCAGATTATAGCGCTTAACAAAGCTGATCTTGCTTCTCGTTCCGCTTTACAGGTATCTCTACTTCTAAAAGTGTTTAACCACACTCAACCAATTAACCATGTTTTGTAACGGCTGAGTTTGTGTTCCTTTTGAAATTTATTAATTTATGAATTTTGTTGTCTTAATATTTTTCTTTTTAAAATATATTTTGTGAACAGGTATGGATGGATTCTTTTAGGGAAATGAACTGCATATCTTGTGGAGTCAATGCTCATAACAAGGACAGCATCAAACAGGTAAACTATAAGTTCCTGTTTTACGTGTTTTTTTTTGTCGAATCTCGGGAATAAATGATTTTATGCAAATATCAAGGTGCTCTGGCTCTGTTGTTCTAATACATTGTTAAAGGCAATGTTAGCAACTATCTGCAATTGTGGTGCTATGGCAGATATACATGACGGTTTTTGGGCATTGCCGCAATGGTAAATATTGCCAATATTGTGAATTTTTCTGCCATAATCTGCTATAACGGCGCCACAAAGCATCCGGTTTGGTGGGATTTTGGCTCTCCGCCATGGACACACTGGTTAAATGGCGTGGAGCCAAGTTTGTAATTTTGAATCTTGCATTTGTGTATATTACAATCTGTGTTTAAATTGATTTGAATTAATTAAGACCTCACATTTGATATCAGTTATAATGAATCTGTGAGATTATGTGTGTCGAAAGATGTGAGCGTGAATATTATTATAATTATGGGTTTTATCTCTCTTTCATTTTATAAATCTTTTGTTGTTTTCTTTTGCTTTGTTTCTCTTTGTCGACCCATATTGTTAGTGTGGAAATAACATTCTAAGCCATTGATAGTGACTAGGATGATCTAACTTGGTGGTAATCCATATTTGATTTTGAATTTCCCAGTTACAAAATAAATTTGTTCAAGATATGAAAACAAAAAGTTATTGATATTCATTTTATCTGTTCTTGAACTAGTTTACTAATAAAGAACTTTTCGTGTAGACAGTTCCTAAGCCTTATACAACGCCAGGTGGGAAAACTGAAGATAGCTACTGATCATGCTAATAAATATACTGCAACAGTAATGTTAATCGGGATTCCAAATGTCGGTAAATCGGCACTTGCTAATGCCTTGCATCAAGTGGGGAGAATTAGTGCAGCAGGTACTTAAATTAATATTGTATTTCTTGTGAAATGAATTTCTCAATGTTTGAGAAACACTAGTGGATTTATTTATAATACTTTCTTTGCAATTTCTTGTTTTGTAGAAAAAGGAAAGTTAAAGCATGCAACTGTGAGTCCAGAGCCAGGGGAGACTAAAGACATAAGAAGTTATAAGGTTGGATTTTTTTTCTTTGGCACTGCTTTTTAATCGTTTTTCTAGGAAAAAAAATACTTGCAGACCTCCAAAGTTGTATGTTTTTATCACGTGTTCTATCAATTCTATAACTTTCCTGTCATACTGATGGTTCTCAGCAGGACTTTAATAGGCCTCTAAACAGATTTTGTAAAATCTGAATCTCATATAACTTTTTGTCATTCTTTGCTTTCTTACAATTTCATTTTTTTTGTCTAAATTAAAACTTTGACCATCATGTTGAACAGAACGACGACTTGATCAACATGATAATTTACTTTGGGAAGGTGATCTGTGCACAGGCATGCTCATCTAGGCATCTTACATTCCCAGATACTAGCATGCCTGTGTAAGATGCTGATTTTTCAGTTCTGTTTCTGTCCAGTTTTAAGAATTCTTTCTTATACCAAAGAAGGATCATAACAGTATCTCGTTTGTGCTATTCTTACTTACAAAAAATTTCCTTCCATTCAGATTGCTAGCCATCCCAATATTTATGTGTTAGACACTCCAGCTGTTTTATCTCCCGAGGTTCCTGATGTTGATGTTCTATCTAAATTACTCTTAACAGGTATTTTCAATTGGTTTCTTCTTAGTCTCCTAATTTTTACATTCTTATGTAATGGTGGTAATATGGTACAATTTCTGTATGTGTATTGAGCAATGAAAAAGTGTTGAAACTTTTGACGAGTAATATCAAGTCGAGGAAATAATTCAAAGGGAGTAGAGTTATTGACTTATCGTCCTTTGAGGATTGAAAGCCGAAAATACTAATTCACTATTTTGATTCTATCTGTACTGTTCACTATTTTGATTCTATTTGAACTGTCAATAAAGATCGATGTGAGTTCATTTGGTGAGAATTTTTTAAGTTACTGGCATGAAAGTCATGTTTGTATTTACTAATTAGCTCGAAATCAACTTCTTGATTCACTACACTAGTCTCTCTTAAACTCAACATGCAATCAATTCAGTAATTCTGTTTAAACTTTCATACAACCCTCTATCCGTGTTATATCTGATTTTAACTCCATTTTTATCCTTATGCAGGAGCAATTGGGGAATGTTTGGCTGAGAGAAAAGAAACTGCTCAATATTTTCTAGCTATTCACAACTCCAGTGATCAGTACAAGAAATGGGCGAAGTTATCAAACAAGGATAATGACAGAGTTTTCCTTAACAGCACAACAGAATGCTCGAGTACTTCTGGGTTTCAAATGAAACAGAAAAACCAAATCCCTACAGATCATACACAGGTATGTGCACTATTTACGCGGACTCTCAATCTTATGTAGTGTTTCAAATGCATGATTTAAAACCGTATGTATTCTGATAAGAACACTCAGTAAAGCTAAAAATTGAAAGGTCAATCTAAGAATTGAACCAAAATAAATGTTTAGCCAAAAACCAAATTCATTTCAAAGTTAACTTTGTGTTTTGCAGGACGACGTAGTGCAGGATATTCGAAGAACACTCTATGAAACGGTATCATCTTTTGATGGCAATATAAGATGTGAAGCTGAAATGGAAGCACTTATTGCTAGACAGTTTACTGCCTTGCAGGAAGTTTTCCATGTTTCAACTGAATGTGAAGAAGATGCTCATGTCATGGTTGCTGGGAAATTGCTTAATCTTTTCCGTACGGGTCGTCTTGGACATTATATTTTTGACAACCTTCCCAGAAATACTCACTGATCATTGTAAGGCCAATGATGTGTGTGTGTTGGCCTCTAAATATAACTGCTCAGATCAGCATATCTTTTTACATAGCAAAAAGTCCTTAGCTACCATTCATTTTTAACTAAGTTTTCATAATTTAACTTTATTAATTTCTTAAAATTATTTTTCTTAAAAATTTCATAACTAACTCCTTAAAGACAAGTGTGTTTGAAAAACACATCTGTGATCGTGATGGCAGCACTTGATAAACATGAAGACGATCTTTTTGCAAACTTGGTGAATGTTTGAAATCACAATAAATTTTTTGAAAATAAAGTCGATATAACTTTGTCGAAGTTTTGATTTTTGTCAAAATTCTAATTATTTGTTTTTGCTGTGATTTTGTCAAATTCACCGTTAACTATTGCAAATAAACTGTCAATTTAATCTTTAAACTATTAATTATTTTTAATCACTAAACTATATACATACAATAGTTAGTCTTTGAAATAGATAAAATCAGCCAGTGATAGATTTAAGCATCGAAAAGGTAATTTTCATACCAACCATTGTAACAATCATTTCTGCACAAATGGAACAAGTAACTCAATTATTAGAGTCCCTAAAAGCATCTAAAGTGTCACTGCAGTGACACTAACACATGGTGAACCAGGATCCTAACAGTTTAACATATAAACAAGAAAGCATTACAACAAGACATTACAAGAAACATGTTTTTATTTTGGAGGTGGCACATTAACAATCAAACCTACCAACCACATTACAATGAACCCAATGCACCGAACAGCAATGAAAAATACCAACAAACCAAACAAAATAGTAAGAAGAGGAGGTCCCTTTGAAGCATTGCTAGTTTCCTTTACATCTGACCCTTCATTAGATGCTTTTCCACCTCTAGAGTTGGAGTTTGTAGCAGATACAGTCAATTTCTTTTGATTTATTTGCAATCTTCTAGACCCAATGCATCTAGATAAAGTCAACAGCAGAAATTAAAATATTAATTGAGTAGCAGGTGGTTAGAAACGTTAAAATCATAAACCAAACGTGGAAAAAGGGAAAATACATTAAAAAAAAAAAACTACAGAAAACGAAGAATTGAGAAAAGCGAAAAAAAAGTAGAAGAGAAAGGTATGAACCTGAAGGTGGAAGAGAAGTTGAGAGTGGAGATGGGAAGGATTTGAGGTTTGGAAGGAAACCCTAATTTGAGCGGTGGGTAGAGTGAGAATCCAAGAGAGGCCATATCACATTATCTGATTTTCTGCCTTCCGTAACAGATCGTGACCCTATTTATCTTCCATTTTGGAATATTACAAAATAATAATTTTTTTAAGATGATAAATATATAAAGAAAACAAAGTAAATTCACAAAAAAAAAAAGAGAGAAAAATAATCACCAAATTCACTTTAAATAAATTTTCTTAAGAGTAATGTTGATTTATGTTAAAAAATCATAAAAATTAAAAAACAATCAATTATAAATTAAGGGTACAAGTTAAGAATTGAATGAAGAAATATTGACTTGGAAATAGTGTATTAATTTTAATAAAAATATAAAATTATCTTTTTAATTGTATGTCTACGTATCCTCTTAATAGTGGGTTGGTTCCCTTTGTACTTATAGAGTTAGGAGAAGATTATTTCTTTTGAATTTTTCCTAATGAAACAAACTAGAAAAAGGGTTTGAAATAATCTCTAAAAATTAATTTCTAGAAAAAAAGCTTAATATATTTTACAAAATATTAATCACTAATTATAACAAAGTTTAATAGATAATTATATAATAATATAAAAAAGGTTTAATCCTATTATAATAAATCCCACAACAAATATTAGATCAACGAACCAACATAATCAGATAAAAATTTAAACATATGCAAATATTCAGTCATAGTGATTGTCTGGATGAATACCGAATTCTGAAGGCTTAGAGTTTATTTGTTGTTATTCTTTGATATGAAGATCAACAACTTTAAGAGAACTCTAGTGAGTTGTGGATGATTATGAAATTGTGGATTGTTGATGAATTCGTTGATCTGTTGATTTTTGTTGGTCGTGGATGCAAATTTAGGACAAATAAGAATCCTATTTATAGACTTGAATTAGGTTTTAAAAACTTAGTAAGTAAGTTATCCAAAATGAATGAAAAGCCCAAAGCCCGAGCTCTAAAAAAAGAAAGAAAAATTAGTAACAAAAAATAGAAAAAGAAAATGTTAAAAATGCAACACACAAGATTCGAACCCGCAACCTCATACTTGTAAGCTTAATTCTTTACCAACTGTGCTATATTACTTATTCGGAATAAAAAGTCAATTGAAAGTACATGAAGACGAGCAAGTATTTGTTTATTAAAAAATACAAATGATCTGAAATAATTCATTATATTTTTTAAATAGGTTTGGAAAAGACTATTTATCAAAGAATACTATTAAACCAATGTTTGAAAATACTTTTGACCGTAGAAATAAAGGGCGGGCAAATTTGGGGTATGATAACTGTCCATATTTAACTGCCTTTCGATTGAATAATGCGAGAATACGTAGGTCTCATATGTTTTGATTGAAATTTTATTAAATATTGGAAGACCCCGAAATTTGTCCAAAAGATTATAAGGATACGTTGTACAACGTTCCCATGGGTATGAAGAGTAGACATAAATGATGATGTATCATCTTACCAGAGTTTGAACCATAATTTCGTTTTAATTTAGACACGAGGACGCAGATAACTTGTCAATATCTAAGAGAGATTTATATATTTCTGCATATTCACTGTGACCTAGGAGGTAAATGATACAAGTTTTGAAAAGCCGACTTACTAATACTTGGAGACTAATATAGTAAGTCTTGATTTGATTTGATTTTTCCTTTTCATCGCAACCTAGGGGATGAATAAAACAAAGTTTGATAACACATTGCTGCATGGAGACTGATGCAGTGTGTTGTACCCCAAAATTTACCCTCTCATTTATCAAATATTTTCTCACAAAGATCTCTCTTGGTTCAAGACTGCACTAGGGTTGATCAGCTCAAGACACTTCCTTAAGCATTGATGACCAAATTAGGGTTTGAGATTGCACAAGGATAATTGAAATTTCAATGCTTCATGGGACTTTAATGGATCATTATGGACCCCAAAGATTACTCATGTCAAGTTTCAAGCTTTGGATCACACTTTTGCTCAGTCAATTGAGCAGTTGACCTAAAAATCAACTGTATTGAGGAAAAAGTCAACTATGGCCAATTTACAGTCAAACTTAATAATTTTTTATCCACGTCAACATATAAACTCATATGTATAATTTGATCAAGTTTGGACCATAATTCCTCAAGAAATTTGATCAAATCATCAAAAGGGGAAAATGGTCAAAATCAGGGTTTTGACTGAGAAAGGGCAATTTCTTATTTTTGACCTAGCAAATGGTCAATTGGTTTGAAGCACGGTCTCAAGAGTTCAATTACATATTTTTGATCTAATGGCATGACCTAAAACATTGTTCAAAATCAATTGGATTGATAGTAAAATTCTCAGTCAACTAATCAAAAGTCAACTGTACATTGAAAAGTCAAACTTTGACTTTTTGGTCAAAATCCAATGCCAAAGATCACAATTCATCAAAAAATGTCAAAATATGAAACTTATTCATCAAGAAATCAAAAATTCAAGATTTCACTTTGAAAAGTCAAAGTTTTCTAACTTAGAAATTCTTCTAAGTGTTTAAAACTTCATGTTTTTTCACAACTTTGAGCCAATTTTTCACCATGATGCAAGAGGATTCAGAAGAAACTTTCAACATGAAAGTTGTATATCTCCATTATATCTACAACGTTTCTTTACACAACTTCCTCTAAAAATTCTTGGATATCAAGTTATTAATTCATGAAGCCATGGTCTTGAAATTGAACACTTAGTGAAATTTTACCCTAGTTTTGGTCAGGATTTTGACCTAACTTCATGGCACTTTTTCATATATATCCAAAGGAAATTTTCAAAAGTGATTCAAAGAGGGGTTATAGAGCACATTACAAGCTTTCCAAATTGTCCAATAAATCCTTGAGATCATTCTTGAGCAGGGAGAATTGAAGAGAGGAAGTTAGGGTTTTCAAACTTGAAATACAAGTCATTTTGTGACGAACAAGAATTCAATTTCAAACCTATGCGGAACAATCTTGCTTTGCAGGCCTCTAAACCTCAATATCTCTCCATAATCAGAAGATTACACTTGCTTTTGAGCTATTATCCACTTGATTCAAGCTTTATCCAAGTAAATTTTCCATTTATGGCACGAAGTAACCATTCCATTCTTATAAAGAAGCTTTAATCACAAAGTCAATGCATAAAGCTTTGCACTTGTTCCTTCTGATCACAAGCAATGTCAAAGGCAAAAGCAACATTTCTAGAGCCTCCCATAAACTCAGGCCATGCTTGTACTATACCTTGAAACTATATTGTCACTTTTCTTCAAAATCAAGTAACATAACCATAAGTCTATATCTTGTGTTTCTGGCCTCCTCAAGTGAACCAACCTTTTCCATATAATTATACAAGTGTATTGCAACATAACACACGATTGAAAAGCTCCCAAACTCCCTGAAAACTCATATTGCACAAAACCTCCATTTTTGTGTCATTTCTGACTATAAACTTCAATATTCAAAACCACTCATGTGTTTCTTGGTTTAACACTTCCAAAAGCTTCCTAGCATCATACACAAACCATTCCAATACCTGTTTGCAAACTGTAACACCATTTATACCATCCTCCATAACCAAAAACAGAGGTCTGCATCTTGACTTCTCCATACCTTTCCAGCCACCCTCAGCTTAAGCCAGCCATTGCATTAGCTTCCTAGAGGTCCAAGGAAGCTAACCTGATCATCACCACTGCCTGAAACAAGCTCAAATCCATTTCACGATTTCCAGTTTTGAGGTGTTTTTCTTGAACTTCTATCTTCATATTTAGGTATTGTTAAGCTTTGATTTGTGAAGATAAAATGTAGATAACATTGCCACGAAGCTGTACATATTCATAGTTTGCATTTATATGGCCTGAGCTTAGAGAATTTTAGAGTTGAAGTTTTCTGAAATTTTTAGGTTTTAAATTAGGGCCAGAAAAATTCTCATTCATCTTTGACTGTTAGCTTAAGTTATTTATATGGTTGGGTTCGTGGGAAGAAATGCCACAACTTTCATGATTGAACTTTTCATTTTTGTTGAGAGATGAAAAAGATACAGGTCCTTTGGCTGGAGGTTGAAGATGAAGTGTAATCAGGACGCGTTTTATGTTATGCATTTATCCTTTCACATAAGTTAACGGATGTATCACCACCCAGTGGTTAAAGCGCACGCCTGTTCACCCTTAGGTCCTGGATTTAAGCCCCATCGTGATCTTTTGCCATTTTTCACAATTTTCTGACTTTTTTGTGTCTTTGAGCGCTCGGGCTTTTCATGTGGGCCTAGCCATTTTTTCTCACGATACTCCTTGCCTTAATGATTAACCCCCTGACTTATTTTTATATTTTTATTTTTATTTTATTTTTCTTCATTCTTTATTATAATAATAATAATAATAATAATAATAATAATAATAATAATAATTATTATTATTATTATTATTATTATTATTATTATTATTATTATTACTTTTATTTTTTCATAAATCATAAAAAATCCAAAAAAATATTTTTATTTATTAATCATACTTATATATTTATTTTCTCTATGAAACAAAAAATTTTAAAAAAAACATTTTCTTAAAATAAATAAATTTCTTTTTGTTTAGTTGGATCAACCTGTCCTAGTAATAGTAATCGGGTTCTAAGGAGCTCAATATCACTGGTTTGTTTCTTTGGTCGTTATTTCAGCACAAGACTCTTTAATGGAGACTGAAATATCCCAAGAAACCAAACCTCAATGAGTGTAGTATCGAGTATCTACCAACTTCAGACTGCACCAAAGTCGGTCATCTCACTACATCCTAAAGGCCAAGTTGGTCAAGTAAAGGTTCTAAAAGTTCATTAGTGCTTCGTGACATTACTCAGCGGCCCCGTATTCTTTTTGATTAACTCAAAGGCTACTGGTACCCACAAATATGTCGCACTAACGTAACTTTTGCTTAGACCATGTCGATATACCCTGCATAGTTTCCACAATGTATTGCTACTTACCTATAATATATCTCAAATCCGGGTAGAGGATTCAAACCCAAACAAAGAACCATAATGTAAAGCAAACAAGTCAAAC